AAAGGGAATCCAGACCAGTATTGCGAATAACTTCAATCCAGGTCTCATCAAACTGCAAGCTAAAGTCGAAGCAGAGTTAGATATTTTGCTGGCCCAGGAGGATGTTATCTGGTATCAAAGAGCTAAAGAAAAGTGGGCTACGCTTGGAGAACAAAACTCGACCTACTTCCACCAACAAGCCACCAGAAAAAAAAAGAAGGAATAAGATTCTGGTTCTTAAAGACGACGCTGGAAATTGGGTAGAAGATCCGGTTGATTTGGAGCAGCTGGTGGTAGGCTTTTATTCCAGATTGTTCAAACAGGATTCCACTCCCTATGTAGACCGCATGCCGAAGAATTGCTTCCCAAGAATTGATCAGGAAGATCTCTTAACCCTTCTTCGCCCTTTCTTCATTTCAGACATTCATAAAGCAATTTTTGGGATGAAACCTTTCTCTGCTCCTGGACCTGATGGGTTCCAGGTGGTTTTTTACCAGAAATTGTGGCCTTTAGTAGGGCAAAACACTGTTGATCTTGCCACTTCTTTCTTTGAAACAGGTCACCTTCCGGCAGATGTGCTCGATTCCAATCTTGTGCTCATTCCAAAGGTTAACTAGATGGAATCCCCTGCTCAGTTAAGACCAATCTGTCTCAACAATGTCAGTTTGAAGGCCATCACGAAGGCTATGGCTAATAGGCTGAAGCCGTTAATGAGGAATCTGATGGCTCCTACTCAAAGTGGTTTCATTCCAAAAAGACAGATCACTGATAACATCATAATACTTCAAGAAGTTTTACATTCTCTGTGCCGCAGGAAGGGGAAGAAGGGAGGAGTAGTGATCATGATCGATCTTGAAAAAGCCTATGATAGGCTTAGGTGGGAGTTTATCAGAGATACCTTAATCGAAATTGGGCTTCCCAGCACTTGGATCAGCAGAATCATGAAGTGTGTGGAAGAGAATTGGATGAGGATTAATTGGAATGGCAAACTTATGGAGTGGATTCTGCCCTCGCGGGGAGTTAGGCAGGGAGATCCCCTATCTCCCTATCTCTTTGTTCTTTGTATGGAACGCCTTTCTCACCGCATTGAGCTTGCCGTGGAAAACAATGAATGGAAGCCCTTATCTCTTACCTCTCATAGTTTTAAGCTTTCTCACCTCTTCTTTGCAGACGATTTGATTTTGTTTGCAGAGACAGGGACCAAACAGGTTTAGGTAATTAAGCGTTGCTTGGACGAGTTATGTGAAAGCTCCGGGCAAAAGGTTAACTTGAGCAAGTCCATGATGTTTGTTTCTCCAAATATCAGTCGCTAGAAGGCCCAACAGCTCAGTGACCGAGCCAATATCCCTCCCACTAATGACTTGGGGAGATATCTGGGTCTCAATGCTATTCATGGAAGAGTTACTAAGGCTAGATACAAGGATCTAATCCTTTGTATAAAAAAAACTAGCTAGCATCCTGGAAAACAAACCACCTCTCGCTTGCATCTCGCTTGACTCTGGTGAGATCAATCTCTTCTTCGATGGCAGTCTATCCAATGTTTTCCGAAGCTTTCCCTGCCTCTGTTTGCAATTTATTAGACAGGGTAAACATGAAGTTCATCTGGGGAGAAGAAGAAGGGGAAGGGAAATTCCATCCAGTTGGGTGGGAGCAGTTAACCCTGCCAAGGGCTCAGGGAGGAGCCGGTATTCGGCCAACTAGACAAGCTAACCAAGCCATGCTTGCAAAAGGAAGCTAGCTACGAGGGAAGAAACTCTATGAACAAAACTTTTACTCGACAAATATGGCGGCAACAGAGAAGGCATCAACATCCTGCAAAAAAAACAGGGAAGTTCTCTCGCCTGGAGAAGCTTTGTCTCTGCTACTAATGTGTTGAAGAAGGGTTTTGCCATGAATGTTAAGAATGGTAATCGAACTAACTTCTGGTGTGATTCCTGGGTTTCGCAGATTCCTTTGAAGGAGCTGGCTACTTGTGAGGTTCCAGCGGAACATTTAAATCTAAATGTGGCTGATTTATGGGATCCGGAGTATGGCTAGAAGATTGCAGAGTTTCAACACTTTCTCCCGAAGCATATGGTTAATAAAATTCGGGCCATCATGATTGACCCTCTGGACATGGAAGGAGACCAAGCCTTCTGGAGCATTACTGCGAATGGTCATTTCTCCGTCAACTCTGCGTATAAGGCAATCCAGGAGCAGGTGGAGCAGCAATCCAATTCTATTTGGAAGACCATTTGGAAACTTCAAGTCCCTGAACGAGTCAGAGTCTTCATATGGATGGCGGCGCAAGGGAAACTCACCATGAACAACATCAAAAAGCACAGACACTTAACTGATAATGACTTGTGTCCTGAGTGCAGGAATACAGCAGAAACCAACCTTCACTATTTAAGGGATTGTGGCAGGGCCAAAGCAGTGTGGAACAGGATCTTGGATCAACAAGGAAGAGGGAGTTTCTTCAGTAGCGAGCTCGATGCTTGGATGAAGGCCAATATTCTAAATGTTTCAACTGGTAATTGGCCTGGCCAATGGAATAATTTTTTCTGCCTAATCCTTTGGTATCTTTGGAAGTGCAGGAACGAGAGGATTTTTAAAGGGGTGAAGCTGACCATTCCGACTTTGCATCACTATGTGGTAGCTAAGGCGTCAGAGTCGGTTAAAGCTTCGATTCCATCACCAAGAACTTCATCTATGAACATAAATCAGACTAGAGTGGAAGAGTTAGTTGGCTGGATCAAACCGCCTCACGGCTGGCATAAAATGAATACAAATGGCGCAGCACAGAGCAACCTGGTATGGCTACAGCAGGAGGCGTGCTTCGAGATCATGATGGAGTCTGGATTGGAGGATTCTGCAGCAAGCTTGGCTCTGGCACAACTCTCTTGGCTGAACTCTGGGGAATTTTACAGGGTCTAGAGTTGGCTTGAAAAAAGGGGTCTCGCTTCCTCATTCTTGAGATTGACTCAAAATTAGCCGTGCGGCTCATTGAGATGAGGAACGACAGGGTACATCCTTATGCAACAATGCTTGGAACTATCAGAAGAATGCTGGCAAGAGAATGGGTGGTTCGATTAGTGCATACGTATCACGAAGGGAATAGAGTCGCGGACTGGCTCTCGAAGCATAGTCTCATCTATCCCTTTGGTACGTATGAGCTAATTGATCCCCCTTTGGAGCTCGATAGAATCTGCAGAGATGACATGTTGGGAATCAGCTTTCCTAGACAAGTAATTAGAGTTGAGGTTATCTGATCCGTGTGGATTTGATCTTGCCACTACGACCCCCTGTTTTGGCTTTGTTTCACTCTTTACTGAGTTCTTGTGCTCTACTCCTAGCCGTTAGGAGTTTGTAATTCCCATGGTAAAGGAAACCGAATCGTACCGGCCGGTTGAACCGGTAAAACCGGAAATCGGCGCCTGGCCGATACGATAGATGGTTCATAGTGAAAGAGTCGTTCCGGCCGGTTTTACCGGTAAAATCGGTTCAACTCAAAAAACCGCCCGGTTTTGGTCTAACCGGGGGTGAGCTGATAAGGAGGACACGGCGTCGTTTTGCATCAGGCGAAAAAAAAAATCGGCCGAAGCCTAAAAACAAAACCCTAAATCATCGGCCGCTTCGTTTGCTGCTGCTGGCGACGCGAATCCTCTTCTTTTCGAGCGGCGACCAGGAGTCTAGGACCCGGCGATCCTCCCTCCTCTTCTCCACCGACGATCCTCCCTCCTCTGCTGGCCACTACTCCGCCGCTGCTCCGCGACGCGTCTCCGGCACCGGCACGCGTCTCCCTCCCCTGCTCAAGAAGAACACGGCGGCAGCAGGTATGTTTCATACCGATTATAAGCATGGTAAAGGAAACCCTGAACTGATCGAGATATCAGAAATGGAGAATACGATCGGTTTTCACCAGGGTAATCAAGGTCTCTGTTGTCTGCATGATTCACAGAACAGTATGCACTCTGATCTGAAGCCAAAAATAGCGAGGCTTTCTGTAGTTCTACATACAAGTACAACTGCCTTTATATATCTTGTTTCCTCCCTTGTGGCATTTTTCCGGAGAATGAATCTGGGAATGATGTATTTACTTGATTCATTTTGATGTCACACCTAATCTGCCCTTTGAAATCTGTGATTAAAACCAGTAGTAAAAAGCAAATTCAGCAGGCTATTTAGTTTATTCAGATTTGTTATCCGGTATATTCCGATTTTATTCCGGTATTATTCCGAAACGGTATCACAAATCTGCCGGTACGGTTTTTTCACAAAAAATATTATTTATTTACAAAAATGGTATTTTGCCGGTACACAACGATTGAACCACGGTAGTACCACAAAATACCCTACCACTGGCGGAGCCGGTATGACTTCCGGTACGGTTTCCTTTACCATGGTAATTCCTTGGCGTTTGCCTCCCTTTAATAAAAAAAAACTAAGTGGGGAATGAATATTTCATGACAGAGATTGGATAATATTAAAATAATCGTTGGAGAATTGTGGATGTTTGTTTTGAAGGTGAATCATTAAAAATAATCATTTATGAAGGGTGAGTTATTTCTTAGATAAATCTTTGAGGACCACTTGGTGAGTGGATGCTTAATCATTGTGGTAGCTTGGTGAGAACTTCTACTCTTGATGATTTTTTTTCTTACCATACATAATTAGGGAAAGGGGTGGGAGCTACTTTTCACCTCTTCTTCGTTTATATGAATAATTTTTCTAAAAAAATTTACATTTATATATAAAAAAACATTTAGATATACATGTATAATAGAAAAATGAGGGGAGAAAATAAAGGAAGTATATATGAGAACGGAATCCCAACAAATTAACAAGCGGAAGGCAAGAACGCCAGCAAAGACCAAACCTTGGAGCTTCCTTCCTTCCAACTATGCCACGCTTCATTGAACAAAACGTTTTACTTCTTCTACCTCCTCCTCTGTTCCACATAATAAATTATTAATTAAAATCCCCACTTTCTCCATTTTCGATTCTCTCAACCAAACCCAAAAAACCGATCGAAAGGAACCAAAGGATCCTTGTCACAGCCGCCCCCTTTTCTCCTTAAGGGGATGTGACAGAGAGGGTGACTGAGAGTTTTAGAGAGAGAACCACTTTCCCCATTATTGTATTGTTTTCCATCTCAATTAAACTCTATCCGGTTGTTCTTTCTGGTGGATTAGGTTCCATTAAAGAGCTACCAAACTCTGTTTTCCCCTCCCCCTCTCTTGCTATCCTTCTTCCTCCTCCTCCTCCTCAAAAGCTTCTCAAAAACCCCGGGAAGCAAGAAGGAAAATCCAAAGCTCAAAGGGTTCATAGATAGTTTGATGATGGAGATGATGTATTTGCAGTTGGGAAGGTCTTCTTACCAGGATTCCCTCAAAGTCCTAGAGGCTGATATCCAGCATGCTAATTCCTTGTGAGTTCTTCATCTGTTTCTTTGTTGAGTTAATTTCTTATTTTAGTTTGTGGGTTCTTTCAGTTCTTCCACTTCCCTTTCTGGGTTTTGTTCATTTCTTCCTTCTCTGAAATGGGTATGTCCGTATGTGGAAGTTTCAGTGGGTTGTGTGTTCCCGTGATCAAAGTTGGATTCTTTATTTTTTTGTGCTAAATTTGAGGCCGCTGATGGCGGAAAACGACGGTTACTTTCGACAGTTCATCGCACGATTGTCCTCCTAACCAAGCGTGTTCAAAAGCTGGGATTTTGTTGGATTTTTTTTCTGTTTGTTTTTGGGTTTAGTTTACTCATTTTTTGAAGTCTCCTCCCTAGTCAGTTGCAGCTAAAGTTGGCTGCTTTGGACAAATTTAGGATCCTTAATTTTGATCACCCATTGCAAAATTTTCAGCCGAGATTAATGGGTCTCCCTCCTATCTTGGCGTGGATCATCAAAATCTCATATTTTAATCACTGGATTGTTTGCAGCAGTAGTTGTCTCTGGTTGACCTATTTCTTATGTATGTACCTTGTTTCTCGCAGGGCTGCTGAAATCCCTAGGGGGAAAGGTGGTTCCCATCTTCAGATGAAACTAGTCTACAACCAGTGGGCTCCCCTTTTCTTGTACTTGCTTCAGACATTAGAAAGCTCTTGCATTTATCTACTCCCTAGATACCTTAATCTCTTCCATGTCCTTGTATATAAGGTAAATGATCCCTTCATGTTGTTTCATTGGAATACCTTTCGATAGCTCGGAATCCGTTGTTGCAGCAACCCGAGAGAGCATTCCACCTTTGCTTACTGTGAAAATTGTGATTGATTAGGTGAATGATGACGGTAGACCGCGAATAACGACTCATGGAAGGAAAGCAACCATAAAGGAGTTCTATGGTAACGCGCACCTTTCTTTTGTGTTGAAGTGTATGAAGGGAGCCTGTGTTTGTTTGGAGTTTTTGACATTGTTTCAATTTTCAGGAGTTATCTTGCCTTCCCTTCAGAGGCTGCACAGCAGCTTGGATGAAATGGAACTGGACGGCTTTTCGACCATTGATAGTTTGAGAATAAAAAATGTGGATGGAGATCATCACGATAAGCTTGTCAGCATCGATTTGGAAAGGGAAGATGAATGTGGCATCTGCTTGGAGCCTTGCACCAAGATGGTGTTGCCTAATTGTTGCCACGCAATGTGCATCAAATGCTACCAGAATTGGTAAAAATCGCAAAGTCTGTTTGAGTCGTCTCTACTGTTGCATTCAGCTTCTCCTGGTTGACACGATTTGTGCAATTTTACATTAACAGGAACACAAGGTCAGAGTCATGTCCATTCTGCCGAGGCAGCTTGAAGAGAGTGAACTCGGAAGACCTATGGGTGCTCACTTGCAAGAACGACGTGGTCGATACAAAACAGATTACAAGGGAAGACCTCTTGAGGTTCCACCTCTACATCAACAGCCTGCCGAAGGATTATCCAGACGCTCTCTTCTTAGTGTACTACGAGTATCTATTCTGAATTCCGGAATTGGAACCCAGCGAGAGTGATCCAGTGGTGTGCAGAGAGGGATAGCCAATGCCGACCAAGATCAAGTGTAAATAGTCTGGTAAGTGCAGCTAGCCATGTCTCTCTCCCAACATTCTCCGGGAGCAGGCCATCGTCATTTGGAGAAACAACTCTATATCTTCCTTTCATGAGTTTCGTATCAAGATCCCTCATTTGGGGAAGGCGGACTGTGCTTCGTAGACCGGAGCATGATTTGCTGGTTCCTGCTAGAAACAAGAACGAAATGCGCTAGAAAGAAAACCATAAATCTTTTATGTTATGTAAGCTGTTGAGAATGAGAACTGCTTTGTGGCTTTTGTTTCTCACTTGTAATCGCGAAAATTTACTTCCTGATTCCCTTATCATTAGCCTGCATTTGGCATCTTACAATAAGAAAAAAAAGTACGAGTTTTTCGAGTTGGGATTCTGATCTGACTAGTGTTTTTCCGGTGGTGGCTGCGGATTTGTATTGGTCCATAATCTCCATATGCTTGGTACATAAGCGGAGTTGTGATGCTGATGAACTGCTGCAGTTTGGTGTTGATAAAGGTAATTAAGGTTTGTGTATTGGGTAGGAATTACTCCATTCCTGTATCAACTTATGAGAGAAATTACTCCAGAACTTATGCAGTTTGGAACTCTGTCTGTCTCTTTATTGATATCGATCTATCATTTGGTATATCCTATAGGGTGAGCAAGGGAATCAATTCTGATTTCCCAATGTTAATAGTGTTCTGTGCACCTTAAGTTTGTCATTTTGTTTCCTTCAATCGGTTTACGATAGATGGTTGCCCTCAAGAAGAAGACTCGTGATCAGACGAACTCAACAACAGCTGAGCTCGAGAAGGCCGTCCAGGAGGCTGCCATGGAAGGGGAAGAACTGTCGAAGAACGACGAAGAACACAAGCGACTTGGGGAGAGCCTCTGAATGAGCTTTTTCAGTTTGTGACTTAGAAGTAGTAGATACCAGTTCCTGCTCACTTCCAACCGGGCTACCAACACAGGATAATCGAATACACACTACATAAACCACAAGGATTTCAGTCATTGTTTCTACTTGCTGAGGTCTTGCTTTGTTCATGTAAGAAGAAAATGAGGCTGTCATTAGTTTGTTCCTCCTCAAAAGCATATCATCAATTGGCTGATCCTTTGGTCCACACTCTTCTGAGCATCCACTACACATTTCCGCCATTACTGTAAGCAATGTTAGAACTGGTCCTTTTTAAGGGTGAGCGTCGAGCAGGGCACTGAATTGGGTTGACGATTTTCTATCGAGGCATAACAAAAGCCCAAGCCCACTATTCTGGCCTGTCTTTAAGATAATCGAACTTCCCAGGCCCATCTATTCTCTACCCATATTCCAAAACATGCAATAACAAATCCGAGTACCACGCGGATATGAAAAGTGAGCACTACATACGACGTCGGTCTTCAACCAACCTTTGAAGAAATCGAAGTTCCCTTATGGATTTGTTGAGTTCGATAACCTTCTATTTCATTTTTCTCGTGTCATAGTAGGATTGCCTCCGATATTGTGTTGTATCTTTGATTTTTGTGTCTGAATTGATTCCAAGATGCAATCTATCTTCTTCTTGTAAGAGAAAAAAAATTATCTTTGTTAAAAAAAATCGACATAATGACCCAAAAGTTAATGATGATATGCGCTCCCCGCCGATGAATGTCTATAAACACGAAGTGTTGTATAGTGCAAATTTGATTGGCATTCCATAATCGGTCAAAATTTATTCCTTATCCTAATTGGATTTGCATAGTCCAAATTAGATTGGGATTCCATAATCGCTCAAAAGTGTTTTCCTTTTCCTAATTGGATTTCTAATCATTCCCTTCCTCCTTTATTATGATCATAAACCAATCCCATTCACCACTACTCATGCTCGCACAATTTCTAACCAAATTCCTCTGTTTTCCCCCTCTGTGTCTCTGTTTTCCTCCAATGGAGATCCTCAACGCTCGATTCAGCTCCCGCCTCGATCTCGAAAACCCATCCCCCCTCCACCTCCGCGCGCCGGCGTTGCTCTCCACGCACATCCACGTCGTCACCTATTACACCGTAACCCACCGAGACATCCTCCGATCCCCCGCCGACGGTGCCCTCACGCTCCTCCGCGAGTACTCCTCTCCCGAACCAACGCGGCGGCCGCCATCATTAGACTGTTTCGGCCCGCTGGAGACAATCTACACCTCCACGCGCCAGTTCATCGACAGCGTCGCCCGGGTCCTGACCCGAATCGGCGTGCACGACCCGGAAGAGCACGAATTACTGGGCTGGAACCTGGCCCAGCAGGTCGACGACCTCGCCCGGCGCGTGCCGTGCACGAGCGAGGAGCTGAGGCTGGTGTGGACGGTGGAGAAGGTGGAAGATCACTGCTTTGAGGACGGGGAGGTGATGGATTTGGTGGCGGAACAGCTGTGGGCGGCGCTGCGGCGGGGGGTTGATAATAATTATGACGATGGTAATTGCGGGCTGAGAGCAACGGCGCCGGAGGCCCTGGCGGAATTGGCGGCGGTGGAAGTGGGAGGAGAGGAGAATTGTGTGATTTGTTTGGAGGAATTGGCGGTGGTCGGAGTTGGGTCCAAGGCGGCGGCGATGCCCTGCAGGCATGTGTTTCATGAAGGGTGTATTGTGGCTTGGTTGAAGACGAGTCATTACTGTCCGATTTGTCGGTTCGAGATGCCGACGGCGGCGGCGGTGGAGCCCTCTGAATTGGCTGAAGACGAGGTATCACTTTCCGGTCTATCAATTTCAGATGGCCACGGCGGCGGAAGGGCAGAGTGTTGAAGTAGAGTTGTGGAGGTTCCTCGTCGGAGGTCGTTAGTTTTAGGGCGGGAGAAAAAAGAGGGAGTTCAAGTTAGGGTGCTATTAGGGAAGTTTGTTAGGGATGGGACTAATTGACAACCATTGATTAGTGTTAGTGGATTAAATGGTGGTAAAAGTTTTGAAGATTCTACTATTGAATGAAACAAATGCTATTTCATCCAATTATACATTTATATTTGGGCAATGTGTATTTTTTATCCCAATTTTTTTCAGATTCTTTTATATTATCCAAACCTATCGAAATACTAAGAATTAGTCAAATGTTAACTTCCAGTTAGCAATTTTGTTAGTGATATTGACTTAACAACATGATACTGATTTGGAAGAGACTAATGAAGGTTAACATTCCAAAATTTTAGTATTTTAACTAAGCAAAGAGTTAAAAATTTATTAATGATAACATTAAAATGGCTAATATTTTGATGCATTATGAAAGATTTGGATAACTAATAGAATTTTAATAGGTTTGGATAATATAAAATAATCTGAAAAAAAATTTGGATAAAAAATAGACATTGCCCTTTATATTTTGTAAGGATTACTACTCTTTTCTAATCTCCCATAAATGAATAATTTTGACTCCAATTTTCAATTGTGAAAAAATTTGTCCCTATTTTATGGACAATTTTCGCTTCTTTATTGTGTTGACCATTAATATTAACGATCAATCCAATAAATTGTTAATAACTCAATATATATTGCTGACGTGGTTGACATGTAGCCGTTATGTCGTTCAAAAGCTTTTTATCCAAATTTTTTTTTGAAACTTAAAAATAAAATTTGAGGTGAAAATTTTGACTAACATGGCATCCAACTCAATAACCAAACCAAAATGATCCATTATGAGTAAAAAACTGACCATTTAGTTGCTCAAGGTTTCTTATTGGAGTTTGGTATACACTAGGAGAAAACTTTTGTGGGGTTTCAAAGATGCATTCTACCTTTCATCATTCATAAAAGAAAAGAAGTTGCATACTAGCATAATTATCTTTGTCGTAATTGTAATGAAAGAATGACATTTGATATAGGGGATCATTGCACACACTTGATGGACATGATAAAGGGGGATTGAACACGGTGTGAGAGTTGGTAGGGTCGTTGTATGGTTGGAACAAGCTCCTAGAGCTTAGTTTGAGAAATTTCACGGAACCATTTTGCTTCCTAGTTTCGACAAAGTGATAGTGATCCCTCACTGTTTTTTCGACAAACTGGGTTCAACCTCCAAGAGCTAGAAAAGGTTCCATGTTTCTTGGGATTGGAGATACATTGTTCAACATGTGGGTTGTTTGTATGTAAAAAAAAACTATATATCAGACTTATTAGCTTCGACGTAGTTTGAGGATTGTAGGCCATGCTCCACACCATTGGAGTGGAATTTGAAACGTAGTAGAGATAGTGGAGATCTTCTGGAAGATCAAACATTTTATCGAAAAGTGGTATGTAGTCTTATTTATCTTACTCATACACGACATATATCTCACACGTTGTACAAGCTGTGAGCTAGTTTATGGGAGTAGCAAGAACGACACATCTTGATGACGTGTTGTTCTTTCTAGCAAGAGGGGAACCCATGATCGAAGCCTTTACAGATGCAGATTACGCAGGGTGTTATTCGAAGTCAGACACTCTACCTCTAGGTGGTGCATTCATTTTGAGAAGCTTTCGTGTCATGGAGATGTAGAAAGCAAGATAGAGTCTTAAAGTCCTCAACAGAAGCATAATAACGGTCCATGTTTGAGGTGAGTTCAAAAATAGGTTGGCTGCAGCGTTTGTTTCAAGAATTAGGAGTTGGATGTCGTGCTTTCCATGGTGATCAATGGATACAACACTAGTGCGATTCAGATAGCGATCAATCCAGTCTTGCATGATCGAACAAGACATATAGAAGTGCACATGTTGACCATGTTCGTTAGTTGGTAGCAAAAGGAACTATCCAACTTCAATATATGAGAACATATGAACATACGATTAGCGAATTGATCAAGGCTGTAGCTTCAAGCAGACATTGATCGTTCTTTCAAATTGATGCTAAGAATCCAACATCAATTTGATCGAGGATGTTAATTGTGTCCATGACAACTGACGTGACAACTTGGGAGGAAAAGAACAAAACACAGGAGAGACAAACGGTAAAAACGTTCTGTGGGTGATGTGGCAACTTGAGATGGAAAGTGCTCACTAGTCGCCGCCACATGGCAACTGGCATGAGGCATCAATCTCGTCATCGTCCGATAAAGATTCCGTAGAATCACACACCCCGATCGCCAACCGTTGATTTCGATTACTTTCTCACTCTCCCTTTCTCTCTGACTCACGTCACAATTAGTGTTTCAGACTCGAAAACCTAAAAAATAACGAAAGCATTTACGAATCCAATCACCAGACCAAACAACATTTTCCTCTTTTCAATCTCTAGGGATTTTGTTCTTCCCCAATTTGTATCGAACTTTGACATTGTTCGTTTGGGGCGGGTTATGGTATATCGAAATGTCCGGTAGCA